CCCCAAAACCCCAAAACCCCAAAACCCCTTACATCTATTTAAGTAGAGATGAATGATATCATTTTGTAATAAATCTTTTAGTTAACATACGAGAAATAATGGTTGAAAAGTCGACAGACGAAAAGTTCATGAAAGCTGTGCTCTACACTGGCCCTTCAGAGTATTCGTATTCTGCTACAACTAAGACCATCCCAACTCCTGGCCCAGGACAACTTTTGATTAAAGTTGAATGTGTTCCAATCAATCCCAGTGATACTTATTATCTTGCAGGTTAATACCATGGAACCTATGCTTATCCAATTGTGCCAGGTGGTGAAGGCTCAGGAACTGTGATTGCAAGTGGAGGAGGCATCTACGCTTGGTCATTTGTTGGTAAGAGAGTTACATTCACCAGACAAATGGAAAGACCTGGTCAATTTACAAAAGATGGAACATATGCAGAATATGTCGTCACCAATGCTACTAACTGTATCACACTAGATGCTAGTTGTTCTTTTGAATAAGGTGCAAATGGAGTTGTAAATCCACTCACTGCTCTTGGCCTTATGGAGAGAGCAAGAGTGCTAAAAGCTTAAGCAATAGTTTAAACTGGAGCTGCTTCCTAACTAGGCAGAATGGTAATCAAGCTTGCTAGAGAAAGCAAAATTCCTTTGATCAACATCGTCAGAAGGGACGAGTAGGTGAATCTACTTTAGGGTGATAAATACAAATAAGAATACGTATTAAACTCAGAAAAAGAAGGGTTCTAGGAAGAATTATAGAGTTTATGCAAAAAGCTTAATGCTACTGTTGTATTTGAATGCGTGTCAGGGCCAGTTGTAGGTGTCATTATGAATGCTATCCCACCTAAGTCAACTCTTATATCATATGGTAACTTAAGCGAACAAAAAATGTCTGGAATCAACACCTTCAAGTTAATTGGACTTGAAATTAAAATTGAAGGCTTTTTGCTTCCATATTGGCTTAAGGAAAAGAGCACATGGGCTCTTCTTGGTATTATGAAGGCAAGCAAGCCTTTACTTGAGGAAGTTCAAATTTACAAAGAATATGGATTCCATCAAATTAAAGAGGCAGTTGAAGAATACAAAGCCAACATGAGCAAGGGAAAGATTCTTCTTAGACCATCTCTTACAGAATGAGCAATCGATATCCCATTATTTATTCAATCATCAATAATACTTTCAAGCATTTTCACTTTGTAAAGGTTGTGGGGTTTTGGGGTTTTGGGG